AGAATCTACTCGCAGAAGAAGAAGGTCCCCTAAACATGGATACCGAGGCAAGGGAAAGAAAAGAGCCTCTAGCGATGATGAAGCATTCAGTCACCATCCCGCTCCTCCCGTCATGCGCCCTTCATCCTCGAACCCAGACGAAAACCGTGTCTGCAGATACTGCAAAACCCTTGGCCATCGCCAAACCCACTGTCCCGATTATTATTGCAGGATATGTAGGGAACTCTCCCCTGGACATCTATCCCTGTATTGCCACCAATTCACTGGAAGCTCCCCCACTACGCTTACTTGGAAAGACGAAGGATTCTACCAAGAACTCTCTCATTGGGAGAAAAGTTTAGACGAAGCCTACGTCCATCAGTGCCAGGAAGAAGAAGCCCTCTGACAGGCGGAGTACCTTACTGGAGGAGGAGACGATCAGCTTGACTATTCTGACGATCCTATCTATTGGGAAAACCAAGATATGTAAAGTCGGTGACTTCACGCTTAGTAAGGGGGTAATGTTACAACTGTTATCTCATACTTTTACATTCTTACAACATGCCTTCCTTTCTTGGACTTGTACTTACTATCTCACGATGACTTGGTCTGTGCGCACATATGGATCTATTTAAGCACATGTATTACGCTTGTATTCTTCACTTGAATCTTACTAGGTTTTACCTGGAACATCCTTCGCTTAAGACCTCCAATCTTAAGTCGTCTTTAGACCCGATTCTTAGTTAAAGCACTCCTTTAACTAAGTCCACAGAACTCTCTCTTGTCTGAGAGACTGAGAATCTCAACGACCGAAAACTCTGTCGAGTTGTCGTTGTTAGAACTATCCTAGTTCATAACAGTTTGCGGATTTATACAATCTTGCTCTCTCCTGAGATCGCACATCATGTAGTTTACTCGAAGGATGCTGTGTTCGTGTATCTTATTATTGGCAATGATAATGAGGTCTCGTTCAACATCTGAAAATGTGTGTTCATCGCCTGAGTAGTCAAGGCCACGAAGCCGTGCAAGTAGATGGTCCTTCAGACGGGGAATAAAGTTCTGATGTGTGTGCCTTTAGTATATATGATTACATTGAGGGAAAAAGACTGACCCTCTTGGCCAAATCATCATCTTCGATGTCGGTCAACCAGGAGGTTAGGTCGAATGATGCCCTCGGATGCTTTGCAACATGATAATGGTCGGAGGGAGATGTCCGTTGGCGACGGCATGTATTCCTGAGTGCAAATCGTGCAGCAAGGGTGCTCTTTAGTTGCACATTAATCTTTATAAAAATATGGGACCGCGACTCTTGAACGGCCATATTCTTCAGCAAGGTTTTCCTATTCTTGGGTGTCCTCGGATACCAACGTTTGGAACGTCGATGCTCCAACTCACCCTGTTAGGGCATCAAGCATCAATTTTAAAATTAAATTGTGTACGCACCGCTTGCGTCGTGTAGTTGTCGGTTGTCCCCATGCGTCGAATGGTATTTGGGTAGTCCCCAAGTGCATGGTATTTGTACATATGAAGATTCAACTTTTTAACCTTTTTGCCGGAGGTCCTTTCCTTTCCCTTGGACGACTCACCCTGCTTTGCACTCAAAGCAGCTTTGCGACGCCCTCGAGTAGTGTGCTCCTGCGGAAGCTCAGTAGTATGATAGTGCTCACATGTAGTCTTGCTGAATTGCCGAACTGTCTGTCTGAGAATGACTGTAGCACTGTCAAAGAGGGAGAGAGTGTCGTCTGTGTGCAAGCGAAGTTTAGCAAAAGCGTGCCAGGTCGCCAAGTCGAAGAGCAAATTCAAGACATTTGAATTATGAGTCTTGGGGAGGAGATCCTCGAATACCGGAAGTGCACACTAAAACTCAAGAGTATTAGCAGATGTACGACATGTTACGCTGACCGTCGGTCGGCGTGTGCGAACTAGGATAGGTCTTCTCAGCGACGACTCGAGTGAGTCTACTGAAGCTGAGCGTGGTCTGGCCTTGACGGAACGTCAAGGATTCCTCTGGCGATCTCGGTAAGACAGCGCTCGTCGAGATGCAGGGCTAGCGGATACGTGCTAAGTCGTATGGGGGCGACTTAGAAGTGCGGTCTCACACAAGGAAGCTGGTAAGCTTAGATGAGCAAGTTCTGGGGATGAACCTAGTAGATTAAAGTAAAGTCTAAGTACAATAATCTGTGTCTACTTATAGGGAAGTACTACAAGTATTCTAGCTCAGTCTGTAATCAATAGTATATCGTAAATCTATGATAACCAGACATGAGGTTCAGATAAGATACATGAGGCTTAACCTCTGATCAAGCATGCTGCGCCAAGGGCAGCTGCGCATAGGTACAGGAAGCGCCAAGCGCGCTCCGGATCTTCATGAAGCGACATGCGTTATGCATGCGCTGATCTAGGGTGTCCATGAGACGTACAGCCTCCATGGATCAGGTACAAGGCCTGTCTTGGCCAGGGGCGGGTCATAGCGTCAGGCGGGATCATAGCGCCAGGGGCGGGATCATAGCGCCAGGGGCGGGGTCACAGCGGTCCAGACCACTGTCTTTCTAGGCGCAGGCGGCGCACCGCCGCGCGGGGAGTCTAGCAGAGCGGGGGCAGGCATAGGCAGAGCTGGGGCTCTAGTAGGTGTTACAGATGCCTGTAACACGACACACATAGATCCAAAAACTCACCTGAAGGAGATCCTCGAAGTCTCGACCTGCCAATCTCTTCATCGCTGAAGCGTTCTTGTGAAATCGTCGGATAGTGCCACGTCCAAATGTTGGAACCACCTGGTAACTTCAAGGTGTCAAACCATTGAAATTTCTTGATATGATTACTCACCGTTTATTCAACTTTTGGATAACATTACCACCTTGGGCATAGAGGATGCACAACAGGTGGGTGAAAATCGCCTTCCACACGCCAAGTTCAAATTCGTGTAGCAGATCGACAACGAACAGAATAAACATGTTAAATCCAAATTTTCCGAGTTGATCTGAGAAAGTGTTCTATGCAGATGCATTAAGTATCCAATTTAGCTCAGTTTATGATGGAGCTTACTCGGATAGGGACATAAGACTCATCACTGAGAATCGCTTTGACGCGAACTCCATCAACAGATGCACCAAGCTCGAAAATGAGCCTTCAGGCATTCTCGATATCTTGACGGTGGTGTTCATTGTCCACACGTTTTTTGGTCTCTCAGCGCTTCATGTCGAGCTTGGTACCCATCTTTGGAACATTGCACTTTTTGACAAGGCAGCATGGGCAGAGACACCGCCCAAGGAACTTGATGCTCGCCAGAAGGACCCTTTAACACACTGTGAGCAAGCGAAAACAAACAACAGAATAATTCAATGCTCACTTTTCAGGGTAATCAGCAGAATACGAGAAAAAACGAGGGAACACATGACGTGTGATTCCATCGGCGCAACGAACAACCATTCCATGCTCATAGGCATGCATGAAATCTTCGTCAAGCAATAACTTCCAAATCGCTTGAACAAGTTCACGCTTACAGAACGTGTGGACCTTGTCTGTCATTGCTTCACCAAATATATCGCAATATATTTCCTGGATATTATCTGGAAGCTGTATATATGACCATCAAATCAGTAGTTACATTTATATTGTGACTGAATGTACCGTTGGAATATAAGCAACATGGTGGCTTGCAAAGGAGGTTGGCTTCCCTCGTGCATACTTGGACTGGTTACCAAAGAATAAATAGAACGGCCATAGTGAGGCGTCCCCAAAACTTGCGAGGTGTGTCGCGTCAGACCACATCATAAGAGGTGCTAAGACACGTTCAAGATCATCATCTGGTGCACAGGGAAGGGAATGTATCTCGGCATATGCATCGAGCATGGCTGGCGACGAGTACGATTCTGAGAAGACTTGCACAGTTTTCATCTCAGAGACCTTCCAATACTGAGAATATGGAGTCATGTGAAACGTGTTTGTGATGTCGTCCTCGAATGTCGACCGAATGACTGATGTGAGCGAGTGGTGATAAACTCCTGGCACTTTGAGTTCTGGTGCATGTTCTTCTGATTGCCATTTAGTTTGTTCTTTTGGCAGGCGAATTTTGACTGAAGACTGGCGCCACCTGAATTCTTCATGTAGAGGATTTGACTGATCTTGCAGATACTTATCTAATAGTTTAGCCTCACGAGCACAAGTAAAGCCAGTCAAATCCTTTGATCTGAAGCACGGGTGCTGGTGAATACCAGCTAGCCGATTGATTTCAGCATCCGACTTATCGTTCGTCCCAGTATAGCGCCAGGACATCAGCAATCCACATGTTGGATTGGTGAATGCATTGAATAGATGGTCATCGTCTACATCCGGTGGTGCGAGTCCAGTAGTAGACACGAGTGGGCCTGGTCCTGTTGCAGGTCGTCCTTCAAGTGTTGGCGCATCTGTGAGATCAATGAGGGAATTATCATTGGGAGGTATGAAGGTGGGACGAGCTGGATAGACTCGATAAAGACCCATTGAATCTGGGTCTGTCTGAAAAGGATCAGGAGGAGGCGGCTCAATGGATAATGGATCCTCATCAGAAGACTCTGACGGAGTTGGTTCTCGCTGAGGAGGTGCACAGCATAGAGGTTTCTTGACTGGCATGTGAGCCAGGGGTATTGAGGAACCAGGAAGGTAGTCAACAAAATGCCGGGGCATTCGAATAGAACGCCCTGAACGCTTTGAGAGAAATTGTGGGGGCGGAGTGGGTGATCTTGCTGGCAGTGGAGTGGGTGGATTTGCTGGTGGTGATGGCAGGCGAGACAGTCCAGCAATGTTCATGTCCTAGAAACAAAATAGTAGTACAAATAGATAAACAAAATTAAACAAAAGCCTACCTCGAGATTGAGATCTACATAGTCAAGCTGGTCTTCAGCAAAAGTTTCTTCTTCCGCCTGCTGACGGGGCTTCTTCATGTCACGGAGCAGATCTCGTCCTTGAGACTTGCGTTTTTTGGCCTGTTTTGAAAAAACAACGTCCAAGGTCAGTGCCTTGTTCTTTTTGCACTTCAAGGCATGCGTAGAGAGTTGTCTCTGCGACTTAAAGCCCCGACCACAGCCAATACAATTGACTGTATTATCCATAATGTGAAGATGGTGGATGTGCGTTGACAACAGAGAACAGGAACCGCTCACTTTTTATCAGTATTGTAGCATGCTGATCGTTTAAGGTGCTTGCAGGCTCGGAGTGAGGCATGCGGTGATCCGCCATATGGTGAGTCTCAAGTCACACCACAATGCCGGTTATTTGGAAATAGTTATGATTATGGTGCGTACAGTACGTGAAAGGGAATATGAAAAGACATTGAATGGTGACAAAAGGTTAAGAAGAACTAGGATTACCTCCGGCAGGGCAACCTTGGCAAAATGCTTGGACTCCAGTTTGGGTGGCCATCAACAAGATGCATGCAAATGGAGAGTGCGGGCTCCGGGGGTAGCAAGTGCGATGTTGAAAAAGATGGTTGGCATGCCGAAATCGGAGGGTGAAGATGCATGCCTGAAGTTCAGGCAAGTCCTAGAACAAAATAAGTATGCTGACTTCTGCAGGGTCACAGAGCTCGCACGGAGACCTCCAGCCATAGCAGGGCTCTCACCTGCAGAAGTCAGAGGGCATCAAATAGTAAAATACTGAAATGAAATCTTGGTTTCGAAAGCCAACTTGAGTTGTAGAGTGAAGGAGAGAGAAATTCAAAAACTCACCAAAGTCGGCTGCGTTAGGGCGACACAAGTGGAGGGTGGGGGCATGCAAGGGCATTGCGGAACACACAAGGTTGGTGAGAGCCATAACATGGTCTAGATGGCTGCACCGCTCAGCTTGGGGCAAACGGCCGTACCAGCCTCGCGGTGAGGAGGGAGCCAATACACACCTGATCACAGGTGCTCGCGCGCTGACCTACAGCACTGCCAGCACCTCCCAGGTGCATAGGGCAAAAATAACCTAGATAGTAAAATACTGAAAAGAGACAGAAAGGAAAAGTTCGAAACCTTGGCTCCGAAAATCACGTGACCTTTTAAAGTCAGCCGGAAAATGCCAGTAATGCAAAGAGACGCGACTACGCGTCAACTACGCGTTTCTCATAATCGTTTTTATAATCGTCTACTACTATGTCAGCCCAGTCTATTCTCGTTAACGGTACCGACCAGGTCATCATCCATGACAATGTCATTGTCATGGAGATTGAAAACCTCCTAACTGGTTGGCCAACTTATGAGATTAACTTTATGCCCGAGAACCCGGGCCCATTGGTATGTAATCTCGATCTTTTCATATTACCTACTGACATTTATCTAGAAACTAATCATCTGCCTCAAAGACCCTGTCAAAATGGTTCACATCAAAGATTCTACAGATAGTGAGGTGAACTTGTTGATCCCAGGCAATCACAAAAGGAAAAAGTGAGTACCTTTTGGTTCTCCTCTCACAATAAGATTGCTAACTTAAACTACAGGACCTCGTTGACCAATCACGAGAGCAAGAAGATCAAAATGTGAGTGGATCTTGTGAGTCATATCCACTAACATTAAAATTTTCAGGTTTTCAGCCGATACCATCAGGATCACGGAAGATCTTGGACGCCTCAAGATCACGTCCCAGAGTTCCAGGTGAGTTTTTCTTATATTTACTGGATCGTCACGCTGACAAATTTTGATTTACAGAATTAACTCTGTCAAAGCAAAGCCAGTGCGCTTGTTGGGAGCCCGCAAAAATCCTCCGTCACACAAACTCAAATTCAAGAGTAGCACCGATTGGCCACCCCAACGCCATCACCGTTTCAGGGATGTGGTAGATAAGGATTCCGTTGCTGATTTAGATTTTTTGCAAGCTTTGCCTGCTCCTGTTGCCGCAGACTTAGATTAGATTTTCCTGCACTGTTCGTTTTTGCTGTCACATTGCTCTCATGTTATCTTGCACTCTGTATACGCTAATCAAATGTTTCATATTGTAATTGTAGAATTAAATGTATTTCTTGTTGCGCTTTAATACCATGATCACACGTTAAATGGAACAAAACCAAACATGTATATACAGCATTTATCGGTGTGTATCTCACTCATCAGCGCGTTGTTCCCATCCTAATCCCTACCACCATCATGACACGTCCTCGTCCTCGTTCCTCCTCTGCAAGCCTGTCAGATTCAGAATCAGTATTCTCTCAAGTTTCATCACACGAATCTTCCCAAAGCCCTCGAGAAGAGGTAGAGAAATCTCCTCCAAGCGCCCGGCCCCTGAAAAATGTAAAACGTAAGCAGAAGTCCCTGGATAATGATGGCGAGACCAAAACTAGGGCTTCAAAATGGCCGAAATCGTAAGTGAGGTATTTTTTGAGCACATATATTCGCTCATTGTCGTGTTTTAGCCATTCAAAAGATATCAGCAAGGACAAGTAAGTACATGCAACACTTGATGAGCTTCATACTGACCATTGACACGTGTTTTCACGTGTAAAGGAAAGATACAAAGCCTCGCGAACAATGTCTGCAGTTCGCTCGTTGGATCCCTCAAGGAATAGATATGTTTTGCATACTAAAAGATGTTTTCCGCATTGCACCATTGGTCGAGATTGCATGCAGCACTAATGTAGAGGACTCTGACGCGTCAGATGATGAGTGCAGCGCGCGCAATGCAATCCTTGCTAATATGTAAGTCGTCTCTTTTGTGGATGAGTATATTATTTATTGACTGTGTACTAGATCCAACGATGCGCAAGATCAACTACTTCGTACATATAAGAAGGTTCTTGCCGGCGCACCTTACCTCCTTGAACTCGTCAAAGGAGGTAAAAAAAGGGCAGCTGAACTCAAAGACATTCTTGATAATGTACGTATGCATATATTGGGTTGCATTTTACTAACAATTGCTATTCAGATGCAGTATATGATTGGCCAAGTACGGTCTGAAGATGCCATGCACCTGAAGAAGAGCATCTTGCATTACGCTTCTTATGACTCCAATGGTCTCGAGCCAGCCATCTTTCCTGACAGCAAAGAATCTCGCACAAAAATGGGCCTTAACCACCCTCAGCTTGCGCGCATGCTGTGTCCTGTCAAGCACCTTGTGGAGTATCAAAAGTCGCCCTCGCAGTACGCACCTTTTTTAAAAAAAACAAACAATTGATGACGCATTGACTTGGTAGAACTAAAAGCAAGATTGAATCTGGCGAGATTAAGATGGATGCCCACGCCCGGCCTGCTCTTCTATACAACGGTAAAGTAGCTGGAGAATCTTTCGACCAACAGAACATGCAGGATGGCCTTTTTGAAGGTTACATTGTTGAATGTGTAGTGTTTTCCTTTTTCAATTGCGCATTGGTGTTGCTAATTAACATATTTTGTTCAAGGTGTTGAAGCATATCCTGACTGGTCCTTCATCTGCACTCGCGGGCGATGATTTTCATATCTCGAACACTTGCAATGCTTCACTCCACGGGATGATGTCTTTTGAAGCTGAACACATCACCTACGGGGCTATACAGGTGAGCTTAGTTATGATGAGCAAATAGGGACTAACGTCTCATAGGCATGGTCCTCTATATCTTCTCGCGACAAATGGTCCGAGAATGACGGTACCTTCTCGTACCGGAAATTTTACTACCGGATCATAGATGTCATTCGTAACCCTCCAGACGAGGCATGGGCTACAGCAATTTTGCAACATTATAACTTGTATGTATCAAGTGTGTGAATGTACAGTATCTGATTGTTTCGTTTATTTAGGAAAGTATTCAAAGATAAAGCTGGACATGCAGCTGCGCTTTCAACAACGACTGTTTCTGATTCTGGAGATGCGGATGATGACGACGACGATATTGCGGTGATGCGAAAGCAATCTGCGCTGTGTTCTGCTAACATTTCAAGGTCACCTGCATCTATTACTACCCCCCCTCCTGTTCAGCCACACAGTGCCAGTGCCCAACGTCCATCACTTCCTGTGCCTACAACACCCACTTGATCACCCACTCCAGCTCGTCGATCTCCTTCTTGATCACCTACACCACCTCCCAGACACCCTTCTCCATCACGTCCACCTCCTACTAGATCTGGTGCAGATATAGCACTGCAACCATCCTCACCTCCTCGCAAGAAAATGAAGGCAGTGGCATTCGAAAGCCCACTGACACAAGATGAGTCTGATAAGGAACATGAGCCTCAGCCTGGAACATCGCTGCGCAAAGGTCGCAAAGCTGCTGCCAGCAGCGCCACTGCCTCTAGGGCGAAGACCTCCACATCAAAGAGGAGGAGGGTCGAAAGTCCAGCGGTGTCTGAAGGCGAGCCTGACGAGGAGCATGAGCATCAGGTTCGGAGATCACCACGCAAAAGTGCCAAACCTGCCACTGCCTCCAAGGTGAAGACAACTCAAGCTGCACCAAAGAAAAGGAGGGGAAGGAAATGAATGTAACGGCAAGTCTCGTCCTTTACTAATTTGAAAACGACGATTTAATCTAATGCATGTCTTCAGCTGTAATCCACTTTCTGACGCTACTCACCAATGCTCTGATTCCTGAAGTTCACTCACCATTTTTTCATTACTGCTCTCGTGGTCGGATTCATTCACTGTCTCGTTATCTACATGCTGTCGTCGCCTGTTCCTCACCCACATTTCTCATCCTCAATGTCTGAACCATGCTTAGATGTACCCATATGACTGCTCGTACCGTGTAATACATTAGTGCAATGACAATGTCTTATCAGCTTTTAACATCGGATCAGAATGAATCAGCACTCCTAAGGTCAAAAGTTCTGCTAAGGTCCAATACAGCTACCCAACATTGGCGTACTGAGCAACAATCCTGCTTCTAGTTCTGGTCTGATAGGCCGCTCCTCCACCTTCTGTTTGCTGATGTGTCTGGCACGCCTTTTGTGACCTTACCTGACCTGCCCTGCCCTTATCTGTTTTGAGGAATTTCGGTGATGTCATGCAATCATGCATGGATGTATTACACTTACCTAATTCGTCGAAGGTCTAATCCAATTATATTATGATAAGTTGTTTACATGTTATAATATTCGTTAAATAATTAAACGACCAGATCTGGCTTTATTTTAACATCAACCTGACAGTGACTAGTGATCCGGGCCCTGAGGAGGAACAGGAATGATGACCCGCTAGCATTATAACCGTAGTGTCCCACAAGGCAAGTATCGTGACCGTATGGTCACTGGCTGATCACATCAAGGGATATATCGGCCTATAAGACGTCTCGCATGATTCAAACACCCCGGCCGGATATCACCTACACACATGTTGCGCCTTCTACTACTCCTTTCTGGACTAGCATTCCAGAGTTCTGTTACAGCGACGCTGTATACTGATCCAACTCAATTGCCAACGAGGGAGTACGACTTTGTCGTGGTTGGAGGTGACGATTTTTCTTTGTTTACTCGTTTTGATGCTAAATTGTTCCGCATCCCGCCGCCCATCATGATATCAGCGGGAACAGCAGGCAGTGTCATTGCAGCAAGGCTATCAGAGAATCCTGCTTTTTCTGTCCTCGTGATAGAAGCTGGTCCAAGGTAGGTCTATTTGATAATTAATTTTGCTGTGTTTTACTCACTGATATTTTCCAAGTAACCAAAACATTCTAGCCGCTGAAGTGCCATTCTTGGGTTCCACTCTCTCCCCAAACTCCGCTGTTACATGGAATTACACGACCGCGCCTCAAATCGGTCTCAATAACAGGACTATACCATATCCAAGAGGATATGTCCTCGGGGGCTCAAGTACAATCAGTAAGTCCGCTAATCTTATAATACAACTTCACAAGATCTAATAAGGTTCCAGATTTTGAGGTATGGACCAGAGGCTCGATAGATGATTATAATCGATTCGCGAATGTGACCTGTGATTCTGGTTGGTCGTGGGATGAAATGGTTCATTACATGAAGAAAGTAAATACCCCCATCTTGCTGACCTAGCTCAATTCTAACTGACTGGTAGAGCGAACATTTGGTGCCTTCTACGGACAATCGTTCTGTATTCGGAGAGGTGGATCCCTCTGTACATGGTAAGAAGGGGCCAGTGCAAGTAAGCCTGGGTGGCTTCGTCAGTGGCGTGGATCGCCGTGTTATTGACACAACGAGAGAACTTGACTGCGAGTTCCCTTACAACGTAGACATGAATTCAGGCTATACTCTGGGACTTGGTCAGGCAATGCTATTAACACCAGGAACAACCGCTCATTATTCTTAGGATGGACGCAGAACTCCGTGAGCTCGAAAGGTTTTCGGAGCAGCTCAGCTACAGCATATTTGGCACCTGCGATGGAAAGAGACAACCTGGATGTCCTCATCCAAACTCGCGTCACCAAACTTGTAGCGGTTTCGCAGGAAAATGGTGTTCCGACATTCGGCCAAGTAGAGGTGGCTCAAACTGCAACAGGTGACTGTAGCGTTTCTGAGTCCCAGTGTTCTCAACTCACATGCCCTTGTAAGGTCCACGGTTGTTGTTCAATGCAACCAAAGAAGTCGTTCTATCCGGCGGATCGATCAATACACCCCAGCTTTTACAGCTGAGCGGTGTCGGCGACTCGGCATTGCTTGCGCCGTTGAATATCACTACCATTCTTAATCTTGGAGACGTTGGCAAGAATCTTTCCGACCATCCTTTCTTGGCCAATCACTGGCTCGTCAATTCCACTTCCACGTTGGAAAAAGTTGCTCGAAATGCCACTCTGGCTGCTGATCTGCTCGCACAATGGAATGCAACCGGCACAGGCCTTTTCTCGGACCCCGGTGCCAACCAAATTGGCTGGAAGCGACTTCCATCAAACTCAAGTATCTTCCAACAATATCCTGACCCATCTGCTGGCCCGACATCTGCTCACTATGAACTTCTGCCGGTCGTAAGTCTTTCTTGTTCATTTCTTTCGTGTAATCTGATGACGTGCGTTATAGAACGGATTCGTGTCATTCGTTGAAAGTACCCCAGCGACAGGGTTTTTCTCGACTATTGTAACAAATGTAGCTTCTCCACTATCCCGTGCGTAATTTGCGTGTATCGCGTGCTCAGTCACTGATTGATCTCAAGGTGGTTCGGTGACGTTGGCGTCGAGCGATCCTTTTGACAATCCAATCATCGATCCTGCATTGCTGGGAAGCCCGTTCGACATTTATGTAATGGTGGAAGCCATTAAATCTGCCAAGCGATTCGTCGAGGCGCCCGCATGGAAAGGTTACATTATCCAAGCTCTTGGTGCTCTCAATTCCACTATAGACGAAGACTTAGCAGAGTATGCTCGGAACTCAACGACTACGGTTTTCCATCCAGTTGGAACCGCTCGGATGACGTCCTACTCTAACCAGGATGGTGTGGTCAACCCAGATTTACTTGTCAAAGGGGCTTCTGGATTGCGAATCGTCGACGCATCTGTTTTAGTGAGTCGCAGCTTGGCGTTACGTGATCAATGTTTCTGACATCTGTTCAGCCGTATATACCGGCTGCACATACTCAAGCATGTGTTTATGCCTTGGCTGAAAGAGCAGCGGATTTGATCAAAGCTGCATGGTCCTGAGTCTCGGATCGAGCTGGTTGGAAGCATAATGTCCCGTGGACTCATCACATACATGTTTTCTTATCTCTGTACGTGCGAGGTTGCAGCCACTTAATTACATAGACTTTAATCAGAAGGCTGCGGCTGCCATGAGAACTTTGTGTTCAAAAGTAATCTTCTCGGCACTGACGGTGATGACATATCAAAATAGGGTGTAAAAACCCGCATAAATTCTTCCAAAGCCTATCGATCCTACTCACCAAATTTTCTCAAGCTCTGGCCATCAGCTCTTGTCATTTGTGGTACGCGTTGTACTATCCACTTTATAAAAGCTAGTCAAGTATACCAAGCTCGATGACTGCCATCTGTTGATATCTATAAGCGTAGTGATCCAGCTCAGTATACTTCTGTCAAGCTATTCTGATACTTCGAAGAAGCCGTCACATAAACATTCGGGTCAGACTCCTACTAGTACCCACCGAAATGACTGCCAAATCAGCCTTACTTCTGCAACCAACAGAAGTAACAAACTCCAAATCCCATTTTCCACCACGCTTGATAGCAAATAAATGATTTTCCGATTGTCATAATAAGTATGTTTCCAACGTAGACCAGACTTCTCGGTGGTACCTGATGTGCATTACTTGGTATTGCACTAAGAAACATACAGCCCAGTCAGGCGGTGTTGAGTGTACAGATCCCAACTTTCATCCGCAAAAAAAGAAATTCAATATAGAATCGCATTTCCGCTACGCGGTATGATACGACACTTGAATGGCAATGGAAGGCTGTCAGGTTGTCATCAGTAAAACATAGTAATAAGTACATGAAACGGCTGCGAACCTCACAAAACTCGACGTGTATTCAAGGACTACCTCTTCTTCGTTGCCGTCGTCTTTCAACGGCGGTCTGATTTCAAAAGTAGCCAGAAATTGACTGACGAATAAGAACATCTGTACGTTTGCAAGGTTCAATCCAGGGCATATTCTTGACGTCTGCTTAGCAAATGCAAGACAACCATGATGTGTGGTTTGCCTACCTCTTTCCAAATCCAAACGCGAAATCTCGGGGATCCTTCGCGCTGCTTTCATGCCCCAAAGGCAAATGACGCTCAGGCATAAATTGATGAGGATCTTGGTATATGCTTGCGTCGTGAGTCATTGCCCTAAATAAAACATTGCGTTCAACGATTACTTCCTCTCAGAGCCTAGTGGCTAACCTACCAAATGTTGAATATCACCCAGGTATCTTGGGGAATACGGTAGCCCTTGTACGAGTCGGTTTGAACGGGAGACCTTGGGAGCATAGGTGCCACGGGATTAAAGCGATGAACTTCCCTTATTATCGCATCGATGTATGGCAACGCAGCCATGTCAGACAGCAGGGGTTGTCTAGTAGACTCAGTGACGCTCATAATCTCTCGGTAAGCCCTTTCTTGAACATCTTGGTGCGCCATCATCAATATCAAGAAGCTCATAGTTATCGCGTATGTCTGTAAAAAGGTTCGCGCTGTTTCAAAATGTCAGACAACACAAACAACTTACAGTCTCTACTGCGGCTAGCTGTAGTGTAAGAGAATGACCCGTCCTTTATAACAAATTTACACACCTGTATAGATGCTTGATGCTGCAGAGATGAGCTCTTCCTCCTTATATTTTGACGTGCCTGCAATGATGTCGTTGAGTGTGTCGGGCACCATCCCCCGCATCTCAGTGCCGTCGAGCTTTGTGTTATGTTTGTTATAAGTAGGATACGATACAACAGATAAACGTACGATAGAACTGCGTGCCTGTTGGAAAGGTCGTGCAGTATACTCCATGAACTTTGTTCTAGCATCCCTCGCCCATCGTTTGAAAGCCATTCCAGGGAACCAGTCCGGAAAATACAATACTGAGATATTCGATAAGACTGTGTGTGGTCAGAAAAATATGCTTTACCTAGAGGCACAGCGTCAGCAAGCCAGCGTCCAGGCCGCAGAGCTTGTTGAGTGTGAACAGAAATTTCGTCCCCCAGGTCGAGTACATGATCTTCTACTTTTGTCCCGTATGTAAATTGAGTAATGAAAGACCCAAGATACCTTGGCATTCAAAGAAAAACGTCACTAAGTGACCGTGGTATTAGATAGTATCCGCACCTTCGAATATGCTGCTTGAATAACTCCGGAGATTGTGCGATCTGCAGCATTAAGCTGGTCGTATCTTCTTCAAGGATTGGGCCCCAAGACCTTTGCGCCTTTGGATTGAAAGCAGCTTGAAGGAGCATCCGGGCCTTCTTCTGCCTGTCAGTATGATCCATGAATACGATATTGTCTTGCCGTCCAGTGAGAGCCACCATTGACCAAGTCGGACGACGGGCATAAAGCGTGGACTTCGTTTCCAATAGGTCCGTAGCTGCACTAGCTTCATTGACGATGAGGATGTCCCGACCATAAGCATGAAGATATATTAATGGCCCTAAAAACAATGAGCTCGCAATATATCGGACGAGGAAGAGATCATACCAAATGTTTTGGACCAGTTAACAAACTCTTTCCATGGATGCTCCCAAGGCAATATCTCTTCGTTTCCAAACCAAAACTTTCCTTGTGGACCTGTATCACTGGCGTCACTTTGGGCGTTCGGCACGGCACATTCAACAATCACCTGGGGGAAGAGGCAAGCGCCGGGATCTGGCAAAGGCCCAACTCGCCAAAGCCAGCGTACAAAAACACGAACAGAGACCTAATGTGAACATTTTTGATCTTCGGACATACGATAACTTGAATGGGCTTCTTATCTTTATGCTCGGCGGTAGCCCGAGCGCACTAGAATATTTCGATCCTGGAACATCCGAGCGCGCTCTGGCTGTGAGATTGATGCGCCCGCATTGATTTCGATTCCAATTTGAGAGTAGTACGGAAATATTATAAGCAATTGGGATTTGATGATGTGGCTAAACACTGAGCGCTGAGCAACTGCAAGAGTAAATACTAGTGATGCTGTTGGATCCAGGGTATACTAGACTTAGCTAGTTTCGGCATACCTTTTTTTCTCGGTCTCTGATTAGTAATTAGTACATGTCCTCGTCGAGCTCGCGGTCTTTGCGCACAACATCCTCTGCCTTTTTTTTTCCAACTGTAGTGCTCGTGAAGGCTTCGGATCCTGCCACAACCCTTGACACCAATCCCACTTCCGCTCTTTCCTAGGACCTGCAGCCTAGCCATGCCGTAACCGCCGGTTGATCCCTTTTGGAACAAATTTGAAACACTCATCAAGACTGGGCGGTACGTCCACGCCAGGATCTATCGCCAGATCCTGATTGCCGCGCTCGCAGTCAACTCTGCCTCGTTAACTCTTCATCAAGTCAGTTACCTCTATTGGTGCGGGTCTCATTCTTTCTTCAGTGATTCCACTGCTATCCTGGATTTTCCTTCTGCTAGCTTCACCTCCTCAGGCTACCCTACTATGTCAATATCTACATATGGCATGTTCCTGCCATCGGTAGTCATAATTTTATATTACATCCACATTAGGCGGCCTACACGGCAAATCAAAGACACGAGAATTTTAAGAAGTTGATTCATGATTCATATGAAACATTGTCGAGGAGATGCTACACCCAAGTTCCATACGGGGAAGGGTGGCAGACACGAGGAAGATGGTGAAAGGGCGCGGAGTTGAACAATTTAAAGCAACTACCCTGTTCAAGGGAGTGACGCAAACGTGGCAGAATAGGTACGCACGAGGACGGTGAACTTCGGCGGCGACTTAACGAGCGGTGGTTGAACGATTTGGAGGTTATTGTCACCCTGTTAAGAGCCGATCTATGCACACTCCGGTACGTAGTGGCTTATTATTTTAGATCCAGATGCTTCTGATCAATCAGAGACGCGTGACCTACTGGAAGGAGCTTCCCCTGTTTCATCCACTCCTTTTTGATCCTTGTCGGGCCGTCTGGGGTACTGCGTGCACTGATTCGGAAGCTCAGGCCTCAGGCATAAGCGGTTAGATCAGCACTGGTTCGTCGTCATGTCGAGGCTCCATAGCAGGTGATCTTTGATACCAAGCATGCTAAATATGACAAGTCGAGATCATTCTAGAATCTAGTAATTGTAGGGTCGAGATCCTACCAGATCTTATCATGCAACTTGCCATCCTGTGGATGTTCTCATCAGACCAAGCATCACATCATCCATGGCTATTTTGGTGATTGTGGGTTCACTAGTTCCGTGAACTGGGTCGGTGTTTAGCGCCCCTGAAAGGCGTAGTTGGTCTTAGTCACATCATGGTTCAATCATCTCCGTGACCAAGATATTCTCGCGCAGATGCGCCCAATGATCATCGATTGATATCCAGTCACGGTTCTAGCATCTCTCTCAGCGCCTGTCTCTCTCTATAAGAACGGCTTGAAGTCTCATTTCTCCTTACTAGCCGAACAATGCTGACCTCCGTCGATGGAATCAAAGGACAAGTCTTCGACTATATCATCATCGGTGCGCTCTGTATAAATTTCTGATGTAGAGTAACTCACCTTGCTTCCAGGTGGTGGAGTAAGAAGGAGCATTCGCGGCTCTTGACTTGAAAACTGACTGATAGCGCCTAGACTACCGGTCTCGTTTTAGCGACACGTTTGTCAGAAAACCCAACGAATTCAGTGCTTGTTTTGGAAGCAGGCAGTGCTCATATCGATGATGCCACTCTACGTCAGTCTTTCAGAATACTCGTGAATTATCCCTGACATCAAGTCTAGTGATACCTCAACAACGTTGGTTGTATATGGGCAATGCTGAATACGACTGGAACTTTGAAACTGTTAGTATCTCCGACTGTAGGCTCGTAGTCGCAACTAAGCAGCGTAAAGGAAACACAACATCACGCCAAAGACAGAACATTCACTTGGCCTAGGTCAGTTTGTGCTGCTTGACTCCGAAGAGTCATTGCTACTTTAACTAACGGCTCTTGTTTACAGGGGAAAAGGACTGGGAGGCAGTTCCGCAATCAATAATCTCCTCTGGAATAAGCCAGCGCGCCAGCACATTGAAGGCGAGCTTTATTTGCCTACATCGACGCCTCCTTAACACACCAACAGCATGGGGTGCGCTTGGCAACGATGGTTGGACTTGGGAAAAATTTCAGGCATATTCCAAGAAATCTGAGAGGTCAACAATATCAATATGCTGAGGGCTGCGTCACTAATTACCTCTCAGGTTTGTGGAACCGAACCATAACACGGATGTCTTGACGTATGATACAAAACTTCACGGAGAGCATGGTGTGTCACTCCGCTAATAGCATAATGAATCTTGCTCAACTTATCTCAGGCCCCATCGTCACATCCTTTCCTCCGCTTATTTCAAACCTTGAGGGAGATTTCAGGAAGGTATTGCTTGTATCCTAATGATGTCGCATTCTACCTCACATCGCTGGCCAGGCAATGGAGGCCCACAATGTCCCGACTATTCAAGATCCAGTAAGTTCGTTGTAATGACACACTTGTACGTTCTGAAAGGAGTTTTGCATCCAGTTCTCCGGGGAGGTAAATACTTTATTCGCTTACGACCTTTTCCACCTAATCTTCACTCAGATCCGCGGAACATCTCCCTCTCTGTCCAATTTGGACCCATCGACGCATCATCGAGCTTACGCTACTAACGTGGGTGCCTCGAAGTTGTAATCTCACTTGATACTGATCCGTCACAATCGCTCAGATGTATTATCAACCTGTCGCAGGCCGTACCAACCTCAAGGTCATCGTTAATGCCCATGTGACGGAGATCATTACAACGGAAGTCGATGGATTAATCACTGCCACTGGTGTCAAATTTGTCAAAAGTGACAATACCTACACGGCAAATGTCGCTGGCGAAGTGTGCCTAACGGCTGGGTAAGCCCTTTTTTACTATCTGAGTTGCTACAGCTAAAAACTTCCTCAGTACAATTATGTCTCCGAAGGTTTGAATTCTTCACATATCACGACCTCGATATGGAATAACTTTCTACTTAGATACTTGAAATGTCTGGCATCGGTGATCCCGCTGTTCTTCGACGGGCGGGTATTGATGTGAAACTTGACCTCCCTGGTGTCGGAACGAATGTTCAGGAACATCTATACACAGGAGTAACCTTCGGTGCGTCGCGGAATACCGACCCAGCGTATGGTCGCTGACTCACCCTGACTTCAGAGTTGACGGATCACTTTGCGGGCGAGCAGGAGGTCAATACCATCGATTGTCTCGTCACAAATCTTGGCTTGCAACAAGAGCTGTTGTAAGTCAGATCAATAGTCAATTTGATCCTGCCGGCTGAACAGGACATTGCTAGTGCATCTGGCAAAGGCACTTTGAACCTCAACGCTGTCGATATCGCGTTCGTTGCGTTAGCTGATATTTCACCCGAACTCAATGCAAAAGTAATCGCATCCTTGCAAACCGAGGAGAAGGACGCAGGACTTGCTGCGCAGTACAAGATACAAGCAGAGCATCTTCGGGAGAAGGTCCCTGGTCTCGAAATCATACTGGCTCCAGGACCCACAAAGGGTATGTATCACATTTGTCGTTGTATTTAGGCTGATTTTGATGCTTATTGCATTGCAGCACCCTCGCAGGGGTGGGATGCCTCGAAGAAGCATATTTCACTCTGTTTTGCTTCCAACTGTCCGCTTTCTCGTGGCACCATAGTAAGCAGCAAATTCACCCATGAGTTCTTCGCCAATGCATTTGATAGCATGTTACATCCAAAGATTCGCTTGCGATTGACCCGCATGTTTTCGAGAATAGATTCGGTAAGGCAAACTTTTCTTGTATCCGCACCACTCTAACACACCCTGTCGATCTTAAGACCTAGACACCATGGTTGAATTAGTCAAGTATTGCAGGAAGTTAGCTCAGACGCCTCCCCTGAAGGGAGAAGGAGAGGGCCGACTCAAAGGTAAGCGTTGTTTTCACACCTTGTGAAACAGACTCATACCGCATGCATTCCAGAAATTCATCCCGGACCGGACTGTCAAGATGATGCCGCCATCGCAGGTTCTGTCATGATTCAATTTTTGGAGTGAAATTGCTCACCTGAATTTAGAATGGATTTGCGATAATGTCAGCACGACCTTTCGTAAGTTCTTTCTGCACGTCTGCATACACAACGGTGCTAGATCATTACATATCAGATACTGCTGGTTCATGTTCCATGCTTCCGAAGGAATTGAACGGCGTCGTCGATCCTCAACTCAAGGTAATACTCAAACACAATCATTTGTCGCGTTTTAACCATCGACCTATAGGTATGGGGCACCCACAATATCAGAGTTGCCGACTTGTCGGTCATTCCGCTCCATGTTGGCAGCCACACTCAATGTAAATTTATCGCTTATTGCTTCACTACACCCTAACATCATCTTTCCAGCTGTGGCATATGCTCTAGCAGAACAAGGTATGCTTCGATTCTTTCTGAAACTAATCACTCTCATCGTGGGCCGGTGATCTTAGCTGCGGACATCATCAAGGCGGCCCACGAGAAGTAGTTGAACTCGGCTGGTTTATGTTGTACAATAACAATGGGATCGTAGTCACATGTACCAATAGCATACTTCTTGAACAGCATTTTCATGACTGTTCCATTTGTCACGTTGAATTCAAAGCGTTTTCAAGGCCAGCTTTATGCACATTGATCAGTCTTAAGTTCAGGCCCCGTGTATTTTTAGACACGACGGACACACTAGTATATCACAGATCATGATTCATAAGATAAGGATACACGGATCTACTCATCCTCTCTCTACAAGTTGCCGCGTCACTCACTACCATTCTTGGACATCTCCCTAGCTCTGCCTTGGAGTTCTTCTGCGAGCTGCTCAGAGCGGGGAAGTATACAAACGTGAAACGATTCAGGGAACCTTACCAATTTAGTTGTGAGTAAAACATCCAGGTAGTGCATGATCTAGCTGACCTCATCATACCCTGTCTAAACTTGTAAGTGAGACAGGTAGAGATTCGAAGCTAGGGAGGAGAGCCCTGGTCATCATGGGTCCTACCAAATCCAAAAGCGTATGAATATGGGTCCAATGCTGTCCTTTCGACGCAATCGTCAAGAAAACGCTCTGGTGCAAATTCGTCGGGAGAAATTCCGCTGATGTCGTCCCTAGACATCGCCCTATAAAACGAATGAGCACGCCGTAGAACCTACATAAGTTGCATAACGCTGACCAAATATTCGGAAAAACAATTGTTCCCTTAGGCACGCGGAGCCCTTGGAAGAAATGACTCAATAGATGCCTGCTGATTCAAAGAATTGCGCGGACCTTGGTATACGTCTTCCTTGCTTGTAAAATGAGGAAGACTCAGAGGAACCACTGGATTCCACCGCATCGTTTCTTTGATGACAGCATTCATGTAAGGTAAGCGGGAGCGATCATCTAATGTCGGGAGTTGCCCATGGCCAACAACGCGATCAAGCTCCATCCTCATCTTGGTTTGAATATCAGGATGCAAGGCCATGGCGAGAATGAAAGCCAAAGTTGTGCCCATGATCTGCATCTCGAAACGTCAGAACAACGTGTATGATCAACGTGTTGAAATCTCGCCGTTTCACTACCAGCTAATGAGAGTCAATATCAAATCGGAACGTCAAAGACTTCAACTCACCCCCGTACATCGAACCAGCAGCCCACCGTATGTGATGTTCCATGTCGGCAGCGCCTTCTACCTGGAGACAAGTAGCAGTGAAGGATGCGGTTGGTGAAGGCGATAAAACTTGTTGCTTCGCATATTCAAAGGGTAGTCCGACAACGCGAAGAAGGTGCGTGCGGCCTTCTGTGGCAATGGCATGGATGTTATTGAAGGAGACCCAAGAAGGGATATATCTGACTGGAATCATGCAGATTCTTCATATCAGCATTTCTTCTGAGGACATAATTTCACGGGATTTACTCACGCTATGGAAACATATCGACAGCGTATGCGCCTGGCATCATTCCTTTACCTATGGTGGCCATCATAATCTCCAGTTCAGCAATAAACTAGATCGAGGAAAGAAGGGGGGTATAAGAATGTAAGACAAAAGTCTATCGTTGGCCAAGTAAAACGCACAGACATTCATCGTCTCTGGGCTTTTGACTCCATATGTCATGGACAGCACAATGCGGCCTGCAGCTCTTGAATGACCTTATGTGAGCTGAAAGACGCTATTATGAAGCGCACCACTTACAACCGAAGCTGAGATATGAAGTCGCTTGGGTTCTCGATGAGACTGTCTAGAAATAACACGACAGCCTCCGTTTGCAACTTGCTATATTCTTTGATTGCGCCAGCATTCAAAGCCAAATGAGCAAGCTTCCTCTGTTGTTTCCATGCAGCGCAATATCGAAGTAAAGAAAAGCTCTAGGCCACGCAACCAAGAGCGAAGTTAAACCACCAACAACGGCAGCATCCCGATACCCCCTACTTGGCCAAGGCCCATGAGCTCACCCAGCATTATGGGTACCGGACGATCAGAATACGATTTCTATAAAAGTTCGTTAGCATGTTCGAAGGAGTTCAACACCATGATTCGTCGTTGCAATGCCTGAAGATAGATGATGTCGCCTATCAGAAGAATGTTTACCGAAAGTACTTTGTATAAAATATCTGGACAACTAACCATACAAGCTTTTCCACTCTGTGAATACTTTTGCCATGTCAACTAATGGAATATCGAAGAGGTTTCCTATGATTGGCATTTTTTTAGGACCAGGCGCTAACAGTATGAACTGATGTATGTCCTTTGGCTCGCATTGTCTGAGTCTTTTGCGAATGACTTGACCCAAATAGACGACGAATGGCGGCCACCGGCCAAGCACGCAAAACCTATCAGCTTGGAATACATGTAAAAACTGAAGCACTTTGAAGCACCTTGATGATCACATTCAGCCTAAATATCACCGGTGCACCGCCGAAACCTAGGCTGTGCGGGTGTCATTGTTAAACGTTAACGGGGAAAAGAGTTGCCTTGGGGTACTACTAAATCCGAACAGCGAAGGCACAGTATTGCGGCTACTAGTATAGATACACGGAGTAATAATACTAGCCTATTCCGAAATTACATATGCATGTCCCAATATGGGCCATGATTCATATGCATCAAACCTTAGGCCTTACCAACTTGAACTAAGGTATCACCGCTCATACAGGATCACTGTTATGTAGGGCGCCATGATCTGATACTGATGCGACTGGACTTCGAGTCACATCAACTGCGGTGCACTGCGCAACTTTCTATTTTCAAAGTGCCTGGGGCTCACACGTGCGCGCCTTCAAGTCACTGAAATACTTAGAGTTCTTTCCAAGAGCGTTAGTATCGAGTACACATCCACTTGACACAAGTTCACGACTCCTACTACTAATCATGTCTCAGACACTGATGAATTCCTCAGCCTGTACTTTGCCAGACAGTTTCGTGCAATTCTGCAACGATCAACCAGCTTCTACGTTTTGTTGGAATGTCAAGGTTGATAGTGATTCAACCCTCTCAATTTCTGATAGAACGAGGGCAGACTTTATCCAGGACGCTACTGCAACTGCACATCGGTTCTTGCATTCCGGTCTTTCACGAAGGCAATGCGGAGCACCACTAGTCAATGTATGCTTCTTCGCGCGCAGTGGCTATGATCTCTTTGTGGGGTTCCTCGCTGCCTTGATAAACAGATGGACTGTGTGTCTAAACTTTCTTCTTACCTGCGAATAAAGTCTGATCATTCCAAGCCGACATTGATATCTGACAAGAATAGTCCTGAAGGTGTAATACACCTTGTTCGTGCCTCCGGTTCTCAGTGTCTTTTCGTGGACGCTACTCATCCCGACCTCGTCGATCTCGTACAACGCCAAGTCCCAAATCTTCAAATTATTCCTCTGCAGGGCGATGATGGGACGACTCTACAAACCCCCGTCACTTACCCTCCCATCAATCAAGATCACGACTTAGACCTAGATGTGGTCGCGTATAATCTTCATACGTCAGGATCAACAGGTATGCGATATCGTCTCTCTATGTCAATCTAACCTTCGAAATATTGCAGGACACCCCAAACTGATACCAATCACTCACAGACAGTGCTACGACCAAACCATGCGATTGGCATCATTTCCGAGCCGTGTAGTGTGTACCCCTATGCCTATGTTTCATGTAAATGCATCCATTGAGGTCTCATCGGTTTACTCATGCGCATCTGCAGACGGTGGGGCTTACTTGCTTAACCAAGTTAACTATTGGCGCAGGCTGCATACCGGTAGTCATTGAATCCACGCGACCTTGCACAGGAGAATTGCTATGTCATATTCTCAGCCGCTTCAATGGTGCAATTTGTGTTACCCCTCCGTCCCTACTTGAACAGATTTCCTTGATGGGAGAAGGAGCAATACAAACACTGGGCTCCACACATATGGTTTTTTTCGTTGGTGCACCCCTGCAGGAGTCTGTTGGTAACAAATTAGCAAGTCATGGCGTGAATATCATTTCGGCCTTTGGAACGTTAGTGTCCTCTGCTAACCATCGATGACGTTACTTTCTGATCTTTGAACACAGCACTGAGACCGGACAATTAACTGTGGCAGATATCAGCTCTGATGATCCCCTCGACTGGCCTTATATCCGATTCATCGATCCATCTGAAATAATATTGGTGGATGTACCAAATGCCAGTGATCTGCGACGTTTAGTTGTCAAGGTATTTCTTTTCAAAAAGTTTAACCTGGCTTAATTTGACCATACTGTCCAGCCAGGCCGTTTTGTGTCTTCTGACCTAGTCAATCATCACGATCCTATTGGCTTCAGCCCTGGAGACCTATGGCGGGAGCATCCAACAAGAAAAGGCATCCCAAATAATTTTCACGCAAGTTACTTCATTAACATGACTGTACAGGGCTTTGGAAGCACGCAGGAAGGATCAGTAGTGTGGTTAGTCGAGTTGCTTTTTGAGGGAATGTAGCAAGCTAATATCTCTTTTCTAAGACTGTGCTCTGTAATGGAGAGAAGACTGACAACGAACAGCTTGGTAGGGCGTTTCATGGTTCTTTCAAAGGTCAGGTAGCAATTCTGAGCTTCGATACAGAGTCACTTGTACTCAAGAATTCCTTCGTGGAACGCGCGATTGTATTTGGCGAAGGGCGTTTGCAGAATGGGCTGCTTGTTCTTCCCAAGGCAATATCCTGGAGCAATGCTGATTTTGTGACATCCTTACAGTCAACCATTCAACACATGAATTCCGTTATTCCAAAGCATTCTCGCGTCGTACAAGCTCTCGTTATCCTTGGAGATCCGAAAAAACCTTTCGGTCTGACAGACAAAGGGACCATCCGACGCCACGAGACACTCGCTCTTTACTCTCAAGAGATCCAGGAAGCGTATGCAGCTCTGGACTCTGGGTCTCCTTTTAGACCTCTGCCATTAAAGGATGATTATAAGGGCGTTCTAATGTACATTCAGGCAATCGCAGCCCGTGTACTTGGGGTGGAGGTTGCTGTTGAAGATGACCTTTTCTCCCGTGGTTGGTATTCTTGCAATTTACATGATAGCTAGCTCATATCTTTCTAGGCATGGATTCCTTATCAGCGGCGAATTTTACAGCCTACCTAACGCCACTTTGGAAACTCGTTAGGGACACAGAATTACCTCGTAATATCGTCTACAAATATTCATCCATCGATAGTCTGCATCAAGTAATCACCGGGAGAATATCGCACAACATGCATCGTAATAATGCAGAACACATAGATGCGATCATCAAGAAGTGGACGTTTCCGAACCCTGCTCCGGGTAGTCGTTTATCGTACTTGGAACACACATCCAGCAATATGGACGACGATCACCTGATTGTGCTCCTCACGGGATCAACAGGCACGTTCGGTCGCCACGTTTTGTCAGAGCTCGTACGGAGGGAAGGAGTTCACGCTGTTTACTGCTTAGACCGCGCGAATCCTCGTTCGTTGGGTGCTCATACTCAGCGAATAAGATACGAGGCTGCGTCAGGCAAAGGAGACACGAAGGTCGAGTCTTGGTCTATGAATCTCGGAGAAAGCAACTTTGGTTTAGATTCAGAGATCGTTCAGAAGGTCAGTATCTCGAATCTTGGAAATTTCAGCTCTGATAAGTTGCAACGCGCATCAGATCCATAGAGACGTTACCCACATCGTTCATTGCGCATGGGATGTGAATTTCAACCACGAGTTGGAACATTTTCTCGACCCCCATGTTCGTGCCCTACATACGATGCTCGAACTATCTGCTTCTAGCGTTCGCACAAAGGTACCACGCATCTTTTTCATCTCCAGCGTTTCTGCTGTTGCAAACTACTCGGGGCCCGAACATGCTATCCATGAAGTTCCTTTCAACTCGTCGAGTTTACCACTCGATCAGGGTTATGCGCAATCGAAGTATGTTGCAGAAAGGGTTCTAATTGATGCATCTCGAGCCGCAAATATACCAGTAACGATTGTGCGTGCTGGACAACTCGCTGGCAATACCACGCTAGGCGCATGGAATGTGACGGAACATATTCCTATTTTCATTCAGGCTTGTTTCTCTCTGAAGCTTATGCCCTCTCAGATTCCGGTTCGTCATCCAAATAACCCCCATACCCCACCAATGATCTGATTTTCATTTCACAGAACCTATCATGGACACCGATTGATGTTGCATCAGCCATCTTGGTCGACATCGTACTAAAGGACCCTCACAGTGATGTGACCAATCTTTTGGTGCGGCACATCGATAGTCCCAAAGAACTCGCCAGCTCGGATTTTCTACAATGGATGGTTGAGGCATCGGGGAATTCGATAGTCCTCGTATCCAACGAGAAATGGCTCGCCTCAGTGCGAAATAGCCCGATGGTCTTGAAGGCGAAGCAGCTTCTACCATTCTTCGAAGAATGGCTGTCCAATGCAGCTCAATACAGGCATCGTGTACTCAGCGTACAAGACACGAAGCTTTTGTCTGAAAGCTTTTCCCGAGCACACATAAGCCCAGAAATCTTCGGACAGTACGTGAACTTCATTCTTAAGTCAAATAGTTCATCGAGTAGTGTGTAAATGATGTACATCGGTCTGGACATGCAAAATTTTGAATTAGAATTTGATGATCTGGTATGAAGTCCGGAAGAACATTGTGATGTACATTTATGGCGATTTTCTGGATACTGGAGTTGACAGCACAGTTCATGAGGGCGAATGTTGAGTCTGGGCTGAGGCCAGTGAGTACGGGATGGACACACGTACTTGTTTAATTACCGCCAGCTATCTTTTACACAATGTTACAGCCTGTGCTGATTGAACAAGCAATTGTTTACGGTCGACAGGACTTCCAGGCTGTGGATACAGCAATTGTAAGTAGCAGTAGTTATGCTGGGTAGATAGGAGACGGACGATATAAGACCGAGAGGTGACGACTATAACAAGACATGATGAGCCGACTAAAGTTGGGCGCCAGACAACACGATCTATTCTAATAACGGACAACTGGGGCAATAAAGGTCAATAGCTCGGAATATCATTATAAGTACAGACATTGGCATATAACCAAACAGTGACGGGAAAGAGTATAATTTACACAGTGTCGTCAATGAAAGTTTCATTCTTAAAGTAGATTTCAACTGGAGCGGATGTCGTTATTTGAGGAAAGGGTCGTGATATCAGAGGTACCGCCAATAGCCTGGTAACATGTGCACTGCCGACAACCACACCTGACAAAATTTGAGCGCAGAGGCGATACATAGGTGAGTTGGGACTAACGTTGTATAGAAGGAATGATGTTTGGTCTGCTGCCCTGCTTCTCAATAATAAGAATCGAACGCCGATCAGCACAGAGAAACACAGAAGCAGGGTACTGTAAGCCCAAGTCA